TTTATTGTTTGTGATGATATGAATAGCTATTTTAAAGAAAACAAGACATCATAATAGCTTTTGCTGATTTAATATCATCTTGCTTTGAAGTCCCATCAAACTGTTGTTCTTCTGTCTCCATTGGTTTTATCATGTTTTATCTTATTGGATTTTATTATATGTGATAGTATAAACAAAATTTTTATAGCCAAAGAGATAATATAGAAACAATTGTTCATTTTCTGTTAGCTGGTTCTAAATACCTTGTAATAATTTCTTCCTCCTAAATGGTTTCACACTGTCTTGATATGTTTGATGCTATAGTATATGAAGTTATACTCAAATATTTCAAGGAAAGAGGCACTATGTAAGTACTATTAAGTCAGTTTATCCTGTGGTGAAACACTATATTGCTTAAATTGGTCTGTTCTGACCTGTATTGTTATGTTGTAATGTCCTCTTTTATCTCAATCTCCTCCTTTTTGAAAATTTATTTTTTTTATTATTTTGTAATTAAGGGAAAAATAGCAGGATATATTATAGGAGCTTTTTTGATTTCCTATTAACTTGATTTGACACCCTGTATTGCTCTCACCATCTTGTTTTGAATGATTTTACTCTATTCTGTTTTGTTTGATAGTATCATGTTTGAGGGTATAGGTAAATACTTTGAAGGCAATAAGATTTACTATAATGCCCATTCTTATTTGAATATTATCATCTTTTGAAGTCCTGCAGTGTCTCCAATGTTTATGTTTTATTGATTTTGTTCTGTACTGTTTTGTTCAATTTTATTATACCTGATTATATAGGCAATTTTTTAAGGTAGCAAGAGCTATTATGGTAACCACTGTTGATTACCTTGTATTCTGTTTCTACATCATGTACCATGTCCATCCTTTGTTTTGACTGACTCTGCTTTGTTTTGTCAAATTTGGTTTTATTCTCTTCCAAAAAAAGTAATAAGAACTGTGGAAGTAATAAAACCCAAAGTGTCTAATTGTTATTTTAAAAAAGAGAGGAAAAGAAAGTGCTCTAAATGATACAACTGCAAGTGTGTTTAGGTGTGTAATATAGATGACCATACTACTAAGTTTTTGTTGGATCATTGAACACAACTGTTTGCAGTCTCACTGTTTAAATGTTTACTTTGTATGCTTTAATTTTGTAACTTGAATAACTATTTCTAAGATGATAATATGTAATCTATTAACTAGCAATTTCTTATTGTTTATGTTTTTTGAAACCCTGTATTACTTGTACCCTTTTGCTGTTTTGTATTTTTTTTCTTTCTTTAAATAAAATTTTTAAAAAATTTGAATCTGTTGCCAAACATTTATAGATTGTGTTCCTGTAACTAGGTTTTGTGATCAAAACTGTGCACCCACATCCGTCTAATGAGCTTAGTGGCAAACCTAACAGGGACGCCCACTTAGCATCCACAGAACACTGCTGTCTGCTATCCATTGTGAGGGTACAGAAGGGCAATCAGTTTCCAAACATACCTCAAGAGCCACAGATGAAAGGGCTTTCTTCCTCCTGGAAATAAAGCCAAGTTTCTTGTTTTGTTCAGCTTTGAAAATTTCCATCTCCTTTTAGCATTCTTCCAGGTGACAAAATAAACTCTGCAGAAGCGTGCATAGAGTGCCTAAGATCTTACTGGGATCAAATACTCAAAGAAAAAAATCATAATTTGCTGTGGCTGAAAAGTGGGTCTTAGAAGAAATATGAAAAAAACACCTCGACTGAGTTCCACAGACAACTAAAGCTCTAGTTCACCACAGCGGTTCATGTCAGATGATGCTGAGGTTTGCTCCAAGTTCTTGAATTCCTCTTTATAACTGAAATGAATATACCAAGGTAGGTTTATTAACAGTGTAGGTTCTTCGTCTTCTGGTAAGGAAGTGTTCCTGGTCTAATGTCCATGTGAATATGGTCAAGCAGTGCTGTACATTCATGCGCATGTCACTTTTCCCAGTGATATATTCTCCTGGGACACTGGAAACCAATTGGAGAGCAATCATGGTAATTCAAATCCAGGCATTATTTAACTAAATCATTGTTTCTAAAATTCCTTTGCTTTCTTTGTGCAAAAGGTAGTCATCCTAAGACATTTTTGTCAAGAATATGTATGGCTGAGCCACAGTGATGCTAGGTAAAAAGATTTGATTGAGGAAGTCTCCTTAAATGATTATTGTAGCCTAAGAAATCTCTGAATCCTCACCTTGAATGTCTTGCTCCCTGGGATTTGACTATGCTCCTAAAGTTTCCATCCCAACCTTACCTTCCCTCTCCTTGTACACTACCTAGTCTGCTGCAGTAGACCTTAGACAGGCATCAGCCATCAGCAGACAGCACACTGTATCTTCCTGTCTTCACCACACAAGCAAGAGCCACAGTACAGCCACTCAGTAATAGTTGGAGGTTTCCTTGCTTAACTTAAGGGACTTAGCAGAAAACAAAAAATAGATCAAAACATCTCCTATAACTTCTGAATACATAGAGGCAAGGATGAGAAAGCAGCTTATTCCTTTACATCAGGAAGATCATCACATATTTTTTCAGAGACTGTAGGATCTCAAGGTTTGGAAAGGCACGAGAAAGTTCTCATAGGCATGTGAGAATGCTGAGAATCCTTTCACATTTTTATCAAGAACACTCGATTGTTTTGCTTTGTGTTTGCAAAAAGATACTGCTTACAATTTACAGAGAAGACATACTAGGAGATATGTCTATTCTTACTGACTAGCAGTCAAGCATTAGATGAAACTGCATTTTTTACACAAAAGTAAAGAGAGAGAGAGCAAGATCGCTTTCAAGAGGGTTTATCAGAGCCTTCTATCCAGCAGCCCCCACTCTCGCAGGAGTCCTTGGAAAGCCATGGGCTCATGCACACTCCACCTCACTTGCCTCATAAGAAAGACCCCTACCCCTCCTCTATGGAGTCAGAAATAATGAAAGCTGGCGTGCGTGCCTGAGGCTCACTGAGAAGCATGACTGGGCAGAACAAGAGTGGGCAGTGCGTATGAAACAAGGAAAGAGACCCCCACACAGAGCAATGGACCCTGCAAGGCTGTGTGGGCTCTTCATCTCCTGGCAAGGAAGTTTTCCTGCTCTAATGCCCATTTGAGTATGGTGAAGCAGTGTTGGGCACCTGTGCACACGAGGTTACCTTTCCCAGTGGTATATTCTCCAGGGACAATGGAATCCAACTGGAAAGGAGCCATGGGAACAAATATAGGAATTCTTAAACATTTGCTTATCAAACAACCATGTATAAATAACCTGCCAATCAGAAAAGAAAGGACCATGGGAATTATAAAGTATTATAAATCCATTGGAAAAGCAAAAAATATCAAATTTACAGAAAGTATCTGAAGCAATGCCTATAGAGGTACTAATGGTTTTGAATGCCTGTATTAGAACAAAATTCAGTAATATAATAAGCACTCTTTTTAAGAATATAGACAAAATAGCAAACTAAACCCAAAACAAGGGAAGAAAGAAGGAATTTATAAATACTGGAGTGGAAATCAATGGAATAGGCAGCAGAAAAAACATTGAAGACAGTAAAATAAAGAAGCATAAAGCCCCTAAAATCTGGAACAAAATAATGAAGAATACTACAACCTCCAGAAATAAAAAGGTTTGTAAAGAAATATTCAGAACAATTGTAGGCCAACAAATTATATAAATTACAAAGAATGGAAAAATTCTCAGAAGAATACAAATCAACAAAACTTACTCAGAAATAAATAGAAAGTCATAGGAGACTTACAAAGAGAAACATTAAATTACAAATTTTGGAATTTCTCAGAAAAAAAATGCTTTCAGAACATCACACAATGGATGACTTCCAAATCTTTAGGTTTCGTACTAAATCTTCAAATATTCTTCCAAAAACTAGGGAAAGATATGATTTCATTCTTTGAATCCAGGTTTAGCTGAATGCAAAATATGCCTAAACAAAAAAGGAAAAAAAAATTTAAAATCCCTGCATACCCAATATTTTTTGTAACTGCTTATGGAAAAGTTCTTTAAAGAAATCTTAATGTAAAAAATTAGGCAAAACATAGATAAAAGGAACAGCTCTCCAAAACACCAAGCAGGCCCAGGTCTTTGGCCACTAACCTCCAAGGAGTTAAACCAAACTGCGAAGTCTGGTGACAATCCCGGAACACTACCCTCAATTTAGACACCAGCTGGACACTGAGGGTTCCTCAGGACCTCATGTTTCACAACACCAAGTTGCAAATAAAGGCTTTCCCTTGGTCACTGTCTGATTTGACAATTCCCTAAAATGACTCCCAGAACTAGGGGCCTCTGTGTGTGGGATTACAGTTTTAAAATTGCAGAAGGTTGCACATGAGACCAGCAGGACTGGACAGACACCAGTGCACCTCTGGCCAGCAAGAAGCCCAGCCATCTGCGATGACCAGTGTGTTGAGGCTAGACCATATGCTGCCCAGGTGTACAGCCTCCATCACCTTATAGAGGATTGGACGTTTGTCCAGACTTACATATGCCAGTTCTCCCAGCTGTGGGAACTTAACGTCATGGTCCAAAGCCCCCATCACAAATTATAAAAAATGCTCTCTGTGTCAAAATTCCCAGCTAAAGAAAGGTGCTCCTTTTAGGAAGGTCACTCTAGGATCACAGAGAGCTCTCCTTATAACAGAGTGCAAATTCTAGAATCAAATTATCTACTTTAGAATTAAAACATACTGGGCTGAGGATTTAGCTCAGCAGTTCAAGCACTTGCTTGGTAAGCCCAAGATTGTGAGTTCAATCCCTGGTATCAAAAGCAAAACAAAACAAAAAGAATGAAAACATACCTACCATGGCCAGCAGAATTCTTTATGGCACTCTCTATGTAATATCAATTTTGTTCTCTGACTTTGTTTTTTCCCTTCAATATGTTTTGGTCTGCTTCTTCATCCATTGAGTTATTGCAACATTTGTGTACTTTGGTGTCTCTGGAGACTTCATGTGGGAGACAGCCTTATTCTCTTTCTCGTTAGGCTCTGCTAACCAAGAACAAACCAAGAGGGCATTATAAAAAGGACTAGACCCGCCATGCTCACCATCCCCAGGTCCAGCCGAATCTGTAGCCTCTTTCTCTGGCTCTTCAGCTATGCGACTCCAGCTGTTGCTGTACGCTCTCCTCTTCTTTTTGACTCTCTTACTTCCAGGTAAGTTGGTGTCTGACAAAAGGCTGCGGTTTGGCAAATCAGACTCAATTTTGAAATCTATTTTGCCTGTTTAGCCATCTAATAACTGCTTAACTAGGATTTTGAGAGGGTAAAATAGAAAAGACATATTCTGTTGCCTTTAATCAAACTGCCAACTGAGTGTACATTCTGCTTTACTCTTTATAGCTTGAGACTATTTGTTAAAAACAAAGAATGGAGTCTTTCTGCAAGTGGTTATATCCGACAAGAACAGTTTACAGAAGTATTTGTAATTGTGTCCACTTGTTAGGTCAGAAAAGGACAGAATCCAATCGAAAGGATTTGCTAGGAGATAAGTAAGGGTCATGGAGATCTGACAATTTAATGTGAAAAAACATATAAAATGATAATTCCAAAGTAAGGGAGAAGTCACATGCTAAATGTTTGATAACATAGTTATAGAAGATCTGGTGCTTTTTGTGAGACATGTCTAAGTATAAACACAGTATTTCACAAGGTTGATGATTGAACTCAGTTATATATGACACATGGTTTCCAGTGTGAGCCTGTGGAATAGAGATAAAGGGACCTGAGCAAGGGACCTGAGCAGCGAGTAAAGTCACCACAGTGCAATGATCCCGGTATGCAAGAGGCTCACACAGTAATGAACATAACTATGGATCTGGAAAAAGGTGAGTCAAACAATAAGACATACAGTCATCTTGAAAATTTGGACTGGATGGCATAGAACACCTAAAAAGAAAGAAGGACAGAAATAATAATACAGCTATTGCTCACTTATGGACCCACCTCTTTAAGAACTCTTCAGACATATGACTGAGGCACACTGTTGACACTCACAACCTGCTGCTCACAATTATGGCCCGTCTCCCTTTTACACAGTTCCTCTCCTGCAGCTCATCTACACATGAAGGCGTGGGGAGTCGCTTTCTTTCAGCAGGACCCTGTCACCCAGACTGCAGCTAATCAGCTTTCTCTGGGAGCTCAGCTCTGCCATGGGCTTTGCAAACCTGTAAACTAAAAGTCAACTTTTCCTTTTTCGAAAGGCAAGAACATTTTTTTTTAACTTTCTACATCCTTAACAGACATAGGAAGTGTGATCAGACTATATGATGTGTGTTCAAATTATAAGACTTACTGTAGTGAAAGACACATTGCCAGTAATGCTCCTCAAATTCACATTTGCCATTCATCCTCCTGGCTTCAGATACACATAGGCCCCAGTCTTGATGCTCTCGGAAGCAGTTCTGCAAGTCTTTGAGTGGGTTTAGTAGCAGTAATGCAGCTTCTTGGGTCAATTCAAAATGTTTACCTTTAATTTCAAAATGTATACCTTTAATTGCCGTTCTGACTTTGGGGAAGAGGCCAAATCACACAATGCTAGACCTGGTGAATAGGAGAGATGAGGACACACTGGAATATTTTCATTATCCTGCCTCTGTCAGGAGGCATCTTCAGTACAATTTACTCTATTTATGAAGTCATATTTCATAAACTACTCATAGCAGAAGTCATGAAGAACTGCTTTAGAAATTGGCAAGAACAAATGGATATGTGTGTTTGAAGTGAGAATTATTTCAAGGGGGTTAATGATACTGTGCCTGTCATTCTGATAAAATGTATTAAACATTCACTGTAATTTTTGATCACGCTTAGAGGCACTCCTTTTGCTTCTTTTCACACTCTCATATTAGAGGTAATTATTGTTACCGTCAGGATTGCATTACTCACTCAGAGTTCCAATTGGACACTGAGATAACTTTTGTAAATTCTTTCTTCCTGATCTATCTTGTGTAGGATTATCTTTTCAGCACATCTCTTGGTCGCAAAACTTTTCAGCTTTTATTGTCATTTTACTAAGGTTATGCTTGTTCTTGAAAGGCAAAATTGTGAAGTATTCAATTACTAATTAAATTGTTAAACTTGCCACCTTTGTTGTTGCTATCATACTCAGCTTGATTAACATTCAATCATAAGTTATCTTCATTTCTCAGTGTTTCTATCATCTGACGTTTGCTTTTAAAGTTCACAATTAAACTAACTTGCTTCTTTATACTATCTGTTAAGACTAATGTTTCTCAGTAACATTATGTCATAGTTTTACACTGTTTATTTTTAAAAAATCTTTTAAAATATTGGTATTCTTGTTCTTTTTTCTTATGATTTGCATTAGAGAAATGTTAGTCATTATGTCCCAGTGCTACTTTCTGTTAAAGTAGTTTAAATATGTCTCTTCATTCACTGATTTCCCTGCCATCTATGACAATTTGTCATTTCACTGTTTCATTTTTCCTTTGAAAATCTTTCCATTTCTAAAAGTTTATACTCTTTAAATGTAATTCAGTTTTTCATAGGTATTGTTTCCTCTTCTTTTTATTGCTTATGGTAATAGATCTTGTTGCACTGAACAACTGCATCACTATTTAATTATTTCTCCACTTCCATAGTCTCTTTATCCTCGAGGACACAAGCATCATAGTTAATTCATCACCTTTTCCTTATATTCCCCACCTAATGCCACATTGTAGATGGTGAGCTCTTAGCTTATGTGTGATCCACCACTGTCCAATGGTCCATGTGTGGCAATCATGCACAGAAACCTCTGTGAAATCATCACCATGATTCACATCAGGGTTCACAAACAGGCCTTGCTGCAGGCTTGGAATCAGCATCCCCATTAGCTTTGCTGCTGGTTGAGCTGACCTGGGGATGCTAGGTAATCAATCCAGCCTCCTCAGCTGATCAATATAGTGTCTCAAAGCTCCACCTCCAGATCACAGACCATTGCTGTGCCTGGAGGACAAGTTTGCTTTCTTTGTTTGTTTGTTTGTTTTGTTTTAAATAGGAAAATATAAAAATAATGAAATGGAGTTTCAAAACAGGTTAGTAGGACAGTTACAACAATTAATACATTGTGTATTGTTGTCTTCCTAGTAGTAATTCAGGAAATTATTCTCTCATTTTCAAAAATAGCAATATTTCAAAGACATTCACTAAGATCTATTGCTCTGCAGCAAGAAGCTAATGCACAATTAGGGCCACAAACTTAAGTCTTTACTTCAGTCTAAATGATTTATTTTCTGTCTCTGTTATACATCAGTCTCTTCTTCCTCTTCCTCTGCCTCCATCTCTTCCTCCTCCTCCTTCTCCTCTTGTTCCTCCTCCCCTTCTCCTCCTTCTTCTTCTCCTCCTCCTCCTCCTCCTGTTCCTGCTCCTGCTTCTGCTTCTTTTGCTTCTTCCTCCTCTTTTTCTTCTTCATCTTCCTCTTTTATGAGACAGGCTCATGCTATACAGTTTAGGTTGTCCTTGAACTCAATGTGTAGCCCAAGCTGGCCTTGAACTCCAGATAATCCTCTTGCCTCAACCTCCTGGGTTCAAGGAATCCAGGTGTGGGCCATGACTCCCAGCTGTAGCTTGGCTTCCAATGTCTTCACTGAAGCCTGTAATATTGAGTGCTCCTGAAGACTCCTTTAGGTACTACTTGTAACAACCTAATAGTGTTAGCACAGAAAGAGAGGAAAACTGTGGCTGTTGGTCAACACTGATTTTTCTTTTTAGTATCTGCACATTACAGAATGAAATTAACACAGAAAGAACAGTGAACATTCCTTTGTTTCTAATGTCAATGGAATTAAGGTTCACATTTTACTATGAAATGATTATGTGTTTTGGGGCAGAAAAGTTACTTTGTGAACTCAATATTCTTCATGTTTAAAAATATTTTTCAGGAGGTAATGTGAACTTTCTTTTCAATTGTCTCATTCAAACATCTAAACAGTGTGATGAACTTGATATATTACACTTATTTTCAGCTTTAGCAAACAAAAACATCATTTCTAAGATTTAAGGGCTTCCCTATCATTTTACACAAATAATGTCTCGATAGGTAGATGTAATGAAAGTAAGGTGATGACAGTGAACAGTTGTCTCTTGATAGGAGCTATATATTGTGATTCTCCATAAGCGATCCTGTAACAATAATGACAATTGTTAAAAATTTAGAGTTGAAATTTCCAACTAATATTTCCATCCACAATGAAATAAAAGTAGAAATCATTGATAGGAGGAAGTATTGTAAACACAGATACACAGTAACTATACAGATTTTGAGAAACTATTCATCAATAATAAAAAATAAAAATGTCTAGAGGAAAGCAAACAAAAAATGTGACACTGCAAATTTTATGAGACGCAACAAAAACAGTTTTAGGTGAAAATTTTACAGCAGTTAAGTACCTGTATTGATAAGTGCTCTTGACCATTGAGATGTCCATGAAGACTTCCAAAAAATAGTGATCTCAGTGTACTTGGGTCAATGGACACATAGCAGAATATTGAGAGATATTATGGTCACCTGAGAAACTTTTAAAGCTGATCCTATAAAAGAAAAAAATATGAGCTGGTCTCTCTAATTTGCCTGGAATATAAAAATCTGGAGGTGGAGGTGGCAATGGGAAAATTATAATGGGACTCTCTAGTTCCCTGTTGGACTGATAGTTAATGTAACTAAAACTGTGGCCACTCTAACTTTGAAATTTGATGCCTAGAAAGTTCTATCTTATAATCACTTAAAGTGTCAAAAGCAACTCTTACGGTTGGAAAAATCCCCAAATCCAGTTTGGGTTACTCTAGGCCTCCTTGTGTCCACAGGAGTGATAGCTGGTGGATCACCCAATATTAGCAATAGACAATATTAGCTGGCAGACAACAAATGTGATGCCCCAAAAGACAGACCTTACAAGGGCTTCCCTAGAACTAAATATCAAGACCTAGAACACAATTCTATATGCATAATTACCAACAACCCAGTAACTGTAGAGCAAGATGAAGCGGCACCTTCAGTATACAGATTAGGTCCAAATGTCACAGAAGCACATGCTGTGGACAGGCTTGCCCTTAGAATTGAACTTTAACTCAACTGAACCAAAGCTTACTCCAACCTTAGATCCTAACTCAGAGAAAAATGAGCCCCAAAGGATTAAAAATGGTTAAACTAAAAA